GGTAAGAACGCCCAAAAACGGTGGACACAGAGCTGCAAGCAGTGTTCCCTCCAGCCCTCAGGTGCTGGAAGGCACTCAAGGCCGCCCAACGGTGTGCAGCTGCTCCTACTACCCGCCGCCGTGACGTTGCCGCTCCCCCGTTGCTAGGAAACGCTTCTCGCCGTCCGCGTGCGCTGCGTTTCACAGAGCCTGCGCCTCTGGAGGCGCTCGAGCAACGGCGGACAGGCGCTCCGGAAGAGAGAAGGAACTACAACTCCCGGCGTGCACAGCGCAGGTCCCCGCCGCGGGGGCTGGTGGGCTGGGCTCTGGGAGAGGCTCAGGTCTCCAGCCTTTGGAATTCTCGTATTTTAACTGATCATCTCCATAGACTTTATTTTTTTTGCATTCCTTTTAATTGAAGTATGGTCAGTTTATAATGTTATGTCAATTTCTGGTGTACAGCATAATGTTTCAGTCATATATATACATACACATGTACATTTTCATATTCTTTTTCACTATAGGTTACTATAAGATATTGAATATAGTTTTTTGTGCTGCACAGTATAAATTTGTTTACCTATTTTATATATAGTAGTTACTATTTGTGTGTTGTTGAAGAGGGCCTAATTCCTACAGCCTCACAAGAGAGAGGCGGTGTGACACTCAGTCCCAGTTGTGACTCGCACAGCGAGTCTCTTCCGCCTTTTAGTTGCCTTTCCGGGTGCAAAAGCTGAAAACTGTAGATTGTGGCTGGTAATAGTGAAAGTGCTGGGAGCTCAACTACATTTACTAGTTAAGTACCTTGGCATAATATCCTTAATACTAAAATACAAATTCTAATTTATGGGCAGTTGATAGGGGATAAATTTTTTTGTTTATTACTGGCATGGGAAATGTAGAGACTACACCATTTGCTGAACATTTTTTGAGGTTCTGAGACAGGCCTTGAGGATGTAAACAAGGAAAATGAATTGTCTGGAGCTACCAGTCTAGGAGGAACTCATAAGATAGTGTTGGCACTGTCAATTTTCAGAGCCACACTTTCTTTTTATCCTTCCTCAAGGTTGAGACAGGACACAGAAATAATCGTGGGATGTGTTTTCCAACTCAGGAACAAAAGGAAAGTGAAGTTATGTCAGGAACATTGTACTCTGAGAATGACAGAAAACATGTGAGAATCTGTATCTTTTTTCATCAATTAGGGAGGAACAGTGGAAATTTGACAATGGATAACCCCACATCCTATTCTGTCAGAAAAATCCTGTGACTACTGTCTTTAGACTATATCCAGAATTCAGCCACTTCTCACTATCACCCCTGCCACCATTCTGGCTCAAGCCACCACTATCATTTGTCTGGATTACAGCTATAGCCTCCTAGATGAACTCTGTATTTCCATTCTTGCCCTCTTCACTTCATTATCAAAACTCAGCAGTTAGCGTGATCCTGTTGAAAAGTCAGATGTCAGTTCTCTGTGAAAAGCACTTCAGTGGCTTCCTTTCTTACCAGTGAGGTCCTTCAGTGACGTAACCTCCTGTCATCTCTTTGGTCCCATCTTCCACTACTCTCCCCCTTGGTCTCCTCCAGACATGCTGGTCTCCTTGACATTCCTCAACTATACCAAGCACTG